TTTTTTTTTTTTTTTTTTTTTAATTTCTTTCGTTGAAATGAAATTTTTCCTACGAATTTTCGACAGTGGGATTTTATTTTAAAATTAATTTTGGCACTGAAAGCAACCTGTTCCGTGGACATAGGTGTTGGTCCCCTTCCACCACCACACCACCACATCTTTGCTTCCTTCCAAAATTTATATGAATTAAATTTTAAATAATTTAATTATAGACTCTTTTTTTTTTTATATTTTTTTATAGTAAGATTCTGGAAAGTGTTCGTTCTCTCTGTCCTCTGGAGTTGGATACTGCTGCCGAATGCTGACAATTTGCTATATGGGTATCATGTCATCGGATTCAAATTTACGATTGACTAATTATACACTTATAATAATATATCTTATAATTCATTTTTTGCTTTATCCTTTCTCTTAAATTATAAAAATTCTTTACAAGTATCGTTCTTCTTTCTGTTTTATTAGAGTTGTTGTTACCTCTTCTTATCACGTGCTAGTGTGATCCGTTTTATTTAATTTGTTTTTGAGTCATTTCTGCCATTTGTGTTTGAGCACCTTCTATTCTGCCTTATCTCCTGAACTTTGGCCCTCAACTGCAAGAATGTAATTTCCATTAGAAAATTTTGCTCTCTACTCTAGTCCCTATTCAATTAGTTTTTCCAATTTATTAGTTTGATTGACAAAAAAGAACGATGGGAAGGGAAATAGAGACTCCTGTGTCTAAGGTGGAGAAAATACCCTAATCGCTTGAGATGTCTATGAAGGGGTGAAATTTTAGGCGAGCAACAACAAACTAGGTTTTAGTGGTGAGGTTGATATAGTATGCACATGATTCTAACTTCAAACTTTGTTGTTATTGTTATAATTTATATTCATTAATAAAAACAATGTTAAGTTTTTTTTTCTTCTTTGAATAACAAGTGCCATTTTTGGAATTTGAGTGTATGGAAATTGGAGGTGATTGTGGGGATTGAAAAGAGGAAAATGGGACGTGTGTGAATAGCATAAGAGAGGACCCACATAGTTGGTGAGTTATGATAGTTACCTTTGCAGGAGGCAAATAAGAAATGGCCCTGTTCCAAAAAACATCAAAGGTTAGTGGCCCTGTGCCAGCCCATCAACCACATCTAAGGTCATGGCCTTAACTACTCATTGGTGGGGGTTGCTATTACTCAATGTAATGTATAGGAGAGAGAGAGAGAGAGACCAGCAAGTCGGTAACCACTAATTTTGTTTTTGGCCGAGTATGAGGGGAGTATTTGTGATCAAGTCTTCTTCTTGCCAAATCAAAAGAGGAAAAGAAAATGCCATTCCTTTGTGGGAATAAAAGGGCCTTTTCACTTCACTTTACTTTAAGATAAACACATTCTAACTTTAATGTGAAACAAGTTACTCTAGTTAAAGGTCACTAACCCACTATAATGCATTCTTTTGTTTGCAAAGGTAGAGAAAGAGAGAGAGAAGAAGGTTACAATATTCATTGAACTAATGAGCTAAACTCTTCTACCTTTTTGCCTTTCTGCTGGTTATGCTAACCAAGTGAAAAGGGAAATGTAGCATTAGCATAGGAAGCTTCAACGAATAAAAGAGTAATGACCTTTACACAACAAATTTTTACATTAATTTATACATGAGGATAACTTTTACACAAAGGAAAGACATAAAAAAATAGGTTGAAAATGAGATAAAATAAATGATCCATATAGGAGGGCTTTTGACGGTGTGTGTTTAATAATGATTGTGTCCAGCAGCCCCCCGTTGTGGATATTTCTCATTTACTTAAGAGTGTTGTAAGATTTGGATTTCCTTGCTTGTCAGTAATATAAATATTATTTTATTTCATTATGTAGAAGGTCCTAAGTTATGGAAATTGATTTTTGATTGGTCATGAAGATATGGATTGTTAAATTAGTAAAAAATAAAAATGTTTTTGGGCAGGCAAGGAGGGCATTGAGAGCACTTAAAGCATTGGTGAAATTACAAGCATTGGTTAGGGGCCACATAGTGAGAAAGCAAAGTGCAGATATGCTGAGGCGCATGCAAACATTGGTGCGACTTCAGGCCCAGGCACGTGCAAGTCGTGCGCACTTGTCAGATACTACTCCTTCTTTCAACTCCTCCCTTTCTAACTACCCTGTAAGCATTAAGCAACACACTTTCTTATTTCACATTTCTTTTTCTTTGCTAACTTTTTCGTTTTCGTACCAAGTTCAGAAACCCTACATGCAATGCCAATGTCAATTTATTCAAACATGTTTCTTTCCACCTTATCTGCTACGAAATTTCTTTCCACCTTGTCCGAAAAGCGTGTAGTAAAAGCTGAGCCAGCGTAATACCAAATTGCAAAATATATATCATGTTTTAGGTTGAATATGAATTGTGATTAATGTGAATTATATATTTAAAAGTATTACTCGGCAAAGAATGACTCAACAACTATTAACCTCTCTCATTCATTTTTTATTGATACTTAATTGCAGGTCCCTGAAGAATATGAGCACCCACCTCGTGCCTTCAGTACAAAATTTGATGGATCATCTATACTTAAGGTACACGATTCTTCCCCATATAAACATGATTGAGTACAGCTTCCACAATGAGGTTACGCGCTCAAAAAAGTTTTTATTTATTAGTAATAATTTTAGAAAATTATTTGTTAAATAATAAATTATTCAAAATTAAATATTTTTTTTCTAAAAAAAGATCCTCATCCTATTATAATTTTTATAAAAAGGACTCTATTACTTCCTTAACTCCACTGATGTTCTTTCTCTTGCCTTCTTACTATCTCAACAAAACATGATTTCTGATTGTATTTTCCTTTTTTGCCTTTTGTTTTGCCAGGTAAAAGGCTTAACAATATCTTGTATTTTCCATTCTGTTCATTTCTTCTTCCTACTTCAAATGCATTTTTCTTTTAAAACTTGCAGAGATGTAGTTCCAATGCCAATTTTAGGAACCATGACTCAGAACGAGCCCGGTTTGACTCAAATTGGTTAAACCGTTGGATGGAACTAGATAACATGTGCAACCAAAGTGGAGAGTATGCTTCATTGAGAAATGGTCGCCATGATGATGATAAAAGTGACAAGATTCTTGAAGTAGATACTTGGAGGCCTCACTTCAAGTCCCACCATAGTAGTAGCGCCTCCTTTCAGACAGCACATTATTATTTGAGTTCTGAATATAATAATGACAACTTTGAGTCTCCATCAAAACGTTCATCAAAGGCTCTAAATCAAAGTCTAAACTCTTTGAAGTTTCACAAAGGAAAAGAAGAAGCAACTTCAAGAACTGCTGACAATAGTCCACAAGCATTTTCTGCCACCTCTAGAAATGGAAGCGGTGCAAGGAGAGGACCCTTTACCCCTACCAGGAGTGAGTGTTCGTGGGATTACTTCAGTGGCTTCTCGGGTCACCCCAATTACATGGCTAACACTGAATCTTTTCGAGCCAAGGTGAGATCACAAAGTGCACCAAGACAAAGGGTGGAGTTTGACAGATACGGTTCCATTAGGAGGCATGCTCAGGGTCTTTGTGATGTGGAGCATGATTCAGATTTAAGGAACAAAGTCTTACCTGCCTCAAACAGTGTGAACAAAATTGGGAGCACCAATTTAAGGTGACATTGAGTGCATGTGTTATAAGACAGTCCCACTTTTTCCACAAAAAAAAAAAAAAAAATGTTTCCTCTTTTTGAGTTTCTTGTGTGTGGTAGCAGTTGAGAATGTAATTATTTTTCACATGTAATTCATATAGTCCATACATGATTGTTCCCGTTGTTGACGTTTTCTGTGAGTGGATTTGTAAATCATGACTTGGTTTGACTGTTTGCTTAGTGGAGTGCATGTTTTGAATCGTAACTTACATGGAACTAGCCCCTTCATGTGAATAATTTAATGGTGGTGGATCGAAGTAATCATTTCTCGTTAGGGACAATTGCTTGGCAGTTGGCACATCATAATGTTTACGACAAATACTTCAGTTTTTTTAATTGAAGGAGGGAAAAAATCCATCATTATATTTCAATAACACTTGTTCATAAACTATACATATTTTTTATTCGTATTGTTACTATTTTCAGATAAATGCATTAATTCATTTACTGTAGAGTCACTAAAGGTGTGTTTGATTTGACGTTTAAATCGTGTAAACATCTGTTCAACTTAAAGCAATAACTTTGTTGCTTCTCAATTCTTGCATCGAAAAGTGAAAAATTATGGTTACATTTACAAAAACGCATACCCAAACACTCTGTAAGTGTCTGTTTTTAAAGTTGAGTGCAGTTAAATTTGACAGAATTGGTTTTGAACCTTTATAGATAGTAGTAATGTTTATTGAAATTAATTTCAATCATAAATTTTGCATCGAAGGATTCCAGAGGAAATGATTTTATTGGTACAACGAACAAGCACTATTTTTTTACACTGTACTTAGAGGTTAAAGCTAAAGCTTATAATGTTGTCAAAATCCAATAAGCTGGTTTTGCTTTTTTTGAAGCTTTCATCTAGTCTATTCCAGAAAACGGGTTTTCTTTTTGCTATCAAATTATAAATTTCTTATCATGTAATAAACTTATAATCTATATAACTTGTATTCCAATTTTGTCCTGCACTTCAAAAGTGGGATAATGTATTTTATATAGATGCACAACAAGCATTTTTTTTCTTCTCTCTTTAATTTGCACAGGTGCGACCAACTTCCCTGATCATTCTCATTTTTTTATATTTAAAATATCCCATTGTGCATAAAAGTATATATATATATATATATATATATGTATATATATATATATATATATTAT